GTTTTAGTTGAGAAATAAATTTGAAGCTACACTGGGACCTTTACTCACTCTACACTAACTGTGGTGCAAAAGCCCAGTCAGAGAGCCAGACTGGGCCATTTTGGGAGGGGTATTTCTGTACTTAGGCTGACTATAAGTAAACAGGGCTGACATTATGTCCCTGCTGCGATGACCTCTGGAGTTTCTACTGCCTGGCCTGCCATTAACCTCATCCTGCTAAATACAGGTTTGCAGGTAAATGGAGTGACACAATGGTACTTTCTCTCCAAAAGTGCCTAGAGCTGGGAAACTCCATTCTTCATTGGGATCATTGGCACCATGATTTTAGGTGGAAGTGAGAAGTTGACTCTTCCCACACACACATGAGGAATGCAAATGTTTCTAAAGGCCAACTGCAGTGCCACAGATCAAACCCGGAGTGCATAAAGGACAATTTAATGTTGAGCTTCTCAGAGGAGTACAGAGCTATTGTAATTAACCCTTTACTTGCCATATCAAGTGATTATACTATATTATACTATACGGTTATGTTAAGTGATTATACTATATAATACTATATATTATACTATACTGTTAAAAAGTTAAGGGACAGGTTAAGAGTGTATGTATGTATGTATGTATGGATGGATGGATGGATGGATGGATGGATTTATTTATTTTAAAGAAATTAAAGAAAGAAACGTATCAAAAGTGACATTAAAGGGGAAGTGTTTCAATGCTATTTCATGCATTCTGAATTACTTACACAGTTAAAGAGTTGAGCTGCATCCCAAATGATGCACTATACAGCACTGTACAGTATGTACTTGTGCACTATGTACTCAACCATGTATAGTATGAATTATATAAGGTTAGTTTGTCATTCTTATCGGGGTCTGATAGCCCCTCCCCCTTCGCTACGTAATTAAAGCTGCGACAGTTGAGTGCATGAAGTGTCCAACATTCCACACTTCGTTTTTTTGGTTAAGTGCATCATCCAGGTATTTAAAGTGCACTTTTTCTTTTTGGAATTTTCAGTGTGAATGCACTACTCACACTATTTATAGCCTACTACAAAACGTCACAGAATACTGCATAAGTATGCGATTTGGGACGCACATTTGGATTCTCATGCTAAACATGGCCAAAGTGTCAAAAAAAAAAAAAACGACTTGGACATATGATGGAGTATTTTTGTGCCAAATACACTCCCTCAGGGTTCGTATAAGTGTCGGAAAGTTTTTTTGAGCCCTGTATGACGTCATAAAGGATGGAATTCCTTATATGGGCACTTCTCTCGGAAAAGTAGCGTGAGGCGTGCACACGTCAACCAGAGCAAGAGCACACACGCCCATTGGCTGCGCTGCACAGGACTTGCTTGAGAAGGATTTGTCATTTTGTTTTTAGACCACGAAATCAACAATGTCACCAAAGAAGAGTGTTTCTGGTTGGGAGGGAAAGATGACCTTGTTCAGCTTCCCAAAGAACCCAGCGTTAATGGAACAGTGGATGCAGTTGTTTCTCCGGGGCAGCAACGGAGTTGTGCAAGTGTGTTTGTTCTCGGCATTTCGGAGACAAATGTTTTATAAATAAATGGTTTCTCCAGGGCAGCAACGGAGTTGTGCAAGTGTGTTTGTTCTCGGCATTTCGGAGACAAATGTTTTATAAATAAATGAAATAAAATTTAAGTCAATTAATTTTTTGTCCCTGTTTTATTTATGTCGACGTCGACAGATTGCAGACAATCGCTACGCAAAAGCTGCGCGTGCTCGTGACTCTTTAGCTCCGCCCACGGCACGTCTTTTATAAATCTGATAAAACTAAAAACTCTTCGGAGTTTGGAGAGTTATGTCCCCTTTAAAGACTTTCATATTGTTACAAAAATATATTTTAAATAAACGCTGTTCTTTTGAACTTTATATTCATCAAAGCATCCTGAAAACAAGTAACGTTACAAGGTTCTGCAGCCGCAAGGCCACCTCAGAAGAGCAATACTACAGTCAAATACAGACTACTGTGTAGTATGAATAGTACATCCTGAAATACAAAGTATTCATCATTAATGGACACCTGTGGTCTCGCAAAGCTCTGGTATATAGCTGAATACTAACAAATAAACAAAAGGTGATATATGGCTCCTTGTTTTCCTCATACAGGATTATGGGGTTTCTGCCGAGCTGAGAGGTAACTCTATCACTAAAAATGACACGACCACAAAGCCACTTCATCAATCATAGACAAGACGGTCCGCTGATTACATCGATATAGGGCAGTAAATACAGCCTGACCTGTTTCTGAGTGCAGCAGGTATGAGAGGAGCTCTACTGGGATCATTGCATAACAAAAGGGCTTTGACCTGAAGCCCCAAATAAAACAATATCAGAGAAATTAGAGCAAGTGGGAATAGTGACCATGAACACCTGGCTGCTGAGGGAAAGCATGAGGCAGCAATTAAATACACATTATCCTCTCCCAATAGTGACATAAAATAAACTATGGCAAAACAAACACACACACACACACTAATATATATCACCTATGACAGACTATGCAGTTATTATAATGCATCAAGGCTGCATTTATTTGATCAAAAAAATACAGTAAAAACTAATATTGCAAAATATTATCACAATTAAAAATAACTCTTTTATATTTTAATATATTTTAGCATGTATTCCTGTAATAGTAAAGCTGAATTTTCAGCATCCACAAGATTCTTCAGGAATCATACTAATATGCTGATTTAAGAAACATTCTATTTATTGTCAACAATGCTGAAAACAGTTTTTCTGCTTAATATCTTTATGGAAAGTGTGATACAATATTTTTTTCCCAGGATTTATTTGAAAGGAATTTTTTGGTAACACTTTCCATTAAGGTCTTATATGTTAACATTAGTTGACTACTTTAGCGTTAACTAACAATGAACAATACTTCTATGGCATTTATTAATATTAGTTCTGCTTGTAAATAAATAAATACATGCAAATGTTAGACTGGACTCACCAGAGAACATATACAAACAAGACCACAAGATTGAGAATAAATCTATATTTAGTTGGAAAAAGACAACATCTACAACCCAGTATATTGGGACCCAGATCTAGAATTTCAGCACAAAGAAAGGAAGGAGGAAAATTCATTCAAATATGGTGACACCGAATGCTCTTCATATTAAAATATTTTTTAAAGGTAAAAAGAGATACTGTAAGAAGGCAGACTGATTAGCTTGTGCATGTCAAAATTTCAATACAAAAGCACCTTCAGAAATGACCACAGCATCAAGAAAAACACAACAGTCCAATTAACAACAGGCCACTGAGAGAACGCAATACCACTGTTGGGAAACATTACAAAAATGTCACATTAAAAGCATCACTCAACAAGAAAGCAAGGCTGGAATTGCCATTCAAAGCATATTGTTGTTCAGATAAGATTAAGAACATGTACAAGTTCAGCTGCATGATGCACAGGCATATCCAGCCTGAGCCATGAGACAGATGTGTAATCATGAAGACACACAGTGAAGATGTCTGTCGGACAGCAGCGCCGCTGGTTCACAGTAGTTTAAATCTGGCTGTCGTCTCAAGACAGGAGCGTGGCAGTGAACGAGTCAGAGCAGGAATACTTCATTAAAGCTGGTTCAGCTGGTCTGGTGACGTTGTTTTCTGCCAGCTGTGTCATGAAGGCAAGACACACTCACTTTCATTAAATGCATGGCAATTCACAAGAGTGTTACAAAAAAGGTACAGGAGTTGTAAACGTGGAATGATGTCTAAATGCATGATTATAACAGTCACAAAAATAACTACAATCAGAGAAATCATCATGTGCTCAGTGTATGTGTAGAGAAAAACCATATGAAACCCTGCATAAGTTTCTATTGCTGGTTAGATCCCAGAATGAGATGGCACAATGACGTTACAACTTTGTCATAAAAAAGAGACAATGATTATGAATCAAAACAATGAGAAGAAATGTGTACATTAACATAAGGCATCTCGTAAATAATCATTAAAGGGTTATAATAAATTACGTACCATGATCTGCAATAAAGTATTGCTACTGTATCTAACAAACACAGGGCAATAACACAAGACAAAGTATTCTAATGCAAATTCAGAGGTTCTGAGTAGGTGAAATCTCATCCCATTTACTGAAAGCAGGCATTTAAAGAATGAAGAAATGGGTAAAACAAACACATTTTGGTAACACTTTGCAATAAGATAACATTTTACATTTAAATGTATCATGAACTAACTATGAATATTTTTTACAGTACAACCTATAATGGCTAGTTAATAGGTTAATGTTCATTTCTACATACACTACCATTCAAGAAACATTTCTTATTATTTATCTGCTTAAAATCATTTTCTAAACTTTGATATTTTTATTTGAATTTTTTCGTAACACCATAAATGTCTTTACTATCACTTTTGATTTAATTTAATGTGTTGTTGCTTAGCATAAATATACATTTCTTAAAAAATATATATATATATAAATAAATCTTACTGACCCCAGTCTTTTGAATGGTAGTGCATACTAATACATTTTTAACATTTCAAGTTGTTTTAGTTAACATTAGCTGATATATTATGAATTAACAATGAAATTTGCTTATCATTGCTAGTTGTGATTCCTAATACATTAATTTTAACGAAGTGGACCTTATTGTAAAGTGTTTCCCAAATTTTGTTTGACTAATTAAAAGAAGAAGAAAAAAGTGGGAGATAAACAATACTTCCGTACAAATGCATGAACACATGACCTTGTATTACTCTTAAAATGCTGATCTGCAGGTTTTGGCAGTTGTTGAACATTTGAAACACAGTTCACTTGGTTTACTGCGAGAAAAAGGAAAGGGCACAGTCTTGCGTGCAGTGATTTGACAGGGGGGGGGGGTAGATTTGTATCACTCCATTGTTCTTCCATACAAATGCATTAACACCACCTTGTATTACTCTTAAAATGCTGATCTGCACGTTTTGGCAGTTGTTGAACTTTTCAAACACAGTTCACCTGGTTTACTGCGAGAAAATAAAAAGGGCACAGTCTAGCGTGTAGTGATTTGACAGGAGGGGTTAGCTTTGTATCACTCCATTGTTCAGACACAGTGAGTTAATGAGGGAGGGCCGGAGTAGCATTACGTCAATGTGACGCCTCCAAAGACACCTGTTTCCTCCTCCACTGAGCACAAGCACCCTTCACACATTCGTGAAGCTGACATTACAGCCCTCACATCAATCCCCCCACATCTCCCTGTGACTGGACGCCTTTAAAAGCATCAGATGGGGTCAAAGCACCGCTGATGAGGCTCTGCTTATCTGCAGATATATATGAAAGAGTGCAGTCATTAAAAATAATCGTTTCCTGTGCTTCATGATACCAGCACGACTGAGAGCTGCCCACTCTGACCTCACAATTTATTTGCAGAAGACACAACCACATCAGTAGACACTATCACAATGCAAATAACTCATCTGTGCTGTGCCCTAAAGTGAAAAATTCATTCATAGGTTGGTTTTGTCTTTGCACCACAAATGATTTGTTTACTAGGAGCTTTGACTCTCCTTTTCATAGACAACAGGAACATTTCTAGTGTGGATACAAATAATAGCTTGGGGTTTAGCTCATTTTAAGGCGAATAGTGAATGAATGTTTGAAGATCATATTCTTTCTATTAAAAAATAAAATAAAAGGGAACATCAAAACATACATCAAGAGTTCAAGCATCCCACTACAATATCGTGCAGGGCTTTTTATCTTTAAAAGGGTTTTCTGAAGCTGGGATGCCCATTAGAAGAGGATCATACTTGGCATGTTCACTGCAGTAATGCATGAGGTCTGCAGAAGCTTTAGACACCTGCAAAGAGGAGATACAATATGAACAATAATTGTTAGATTCGTGTGACTTGTAAATGTATTCATTTGTCATTAAAGGGATAGTTCATTCAAAATTCATGCAAAACATAAAAGGAAAATATTTCAACTGTTTTTTGTTTTGTTTAGTTTTTTAGCTTTTTTTGGCCTTGCAATGAATGTCAATAGCTATGTTTCCATCCAAAGTTGTGAATTTAACTTGTCAGGAAATTAGAATATTGCATTTGCAAATAAAAAAACATTTCCATGTCACCTGTTTCCATCATCACTTTCTGCAATACTGGCAAAGTATCCATAATTAAAATGAAAGTTTCTGCAACTGGGGAAGCCTGTGGCTCTTTTTTCTTACAGAATAAATGATTTGCGGCAGATTAAATGCAATAACAAACGCTGTCATGTTATTTTGCATTCAGATGTCTGATGTTTGGGAACAAGTTATGGGTTATACCAAATGATTTTGATGATGGACTTTGGCTCAGGCAATTTAAAATTATTAAAATAACATTTGAGATGGTGTGCGATGAGATTGGTGCGCTGGTTAGTTCAGTTATCCTATCACATGATCTGTTGAGGCAAAGTGAGTTTTTTGTTGTTGTTGTTGTTGTTGTTGTTGTTGTGCACAGAGGAATTTATTCGGTAAATGTTTCCATTGTTTTTTATTCGGATTTTGGATTTTAAAAAATATCCACCTTAATTGAGAACATAAGTTGTTTTATATTTGCATTTTAAGATTTTATGCACATCTTGGTGTTTTTTTAAAGCGATATACCAAAATTTGCATAAAATATGTGGATGGAAAAGCTTACAATATTAAACCCACAGACTTTGATTGTATGGACAAAAACACAGAGACATTTTTCAAAATACCTTCTTTCGTGTTTCGTGTTTCTAAGAAGAAAGGAGTGCATACAGATTTGCGTGATTGGCGTACAACTAAATTAACTATTAACTTGTCGTTAAAGGTGTAGTTCATTAAAAAACTGAAAATTCTGTCAATTCTATGACATTTGTTGTCCTGCAAAACACAAAAGGAGAATAGACTGTTTCTGTCTATGCAGTGAAGTATGAACCTCGTCACTGAGCATAAGCCTATAAGTGGTCTACAGTCCAATTTACAATCAAGTTTGCCAATCTGTCTGAGCTACTAGACTTAGGGGCTGTTCACCCAAGGCATTCTTGCATTCTACCAGCACAATTTTTCAGTTTGTCTATCTGTGGCTGCTCCATACCCTTACCAAAAAGTAGTATACTTCAAGTTTATTTTAGTAAGTATTCTTAAGTAAAGTTCAAGTATATTTTTAAGTATACTTTATGTAGTAAGTATACAAATATCAGTGTACTAGTAGTATACTTGTAAGTGTACTATTTCAATACTCCTTGGGACTAAATTGGCCCACTTTCTAGTATATAAAAGTATACTTTAAGTATAACAGTAGTAAACTTTGAGTACACAACTAGTTTACATAAAAATGTTTAGTTTGTACTGCAACTATACTAAAAGTGAACTAGGTATACTGATAGTTTTCTAATTAAATACTTAGTAGCATTTTTAGTACACTTTGAAGTAGTCTTAGTAAACTACTAGTTTAGTAGTTTTATACTACAAGTATACTCGTAAGTTTTCTTTAAGTGAACTTTACATCATACTTTAAGTATACTACTATGTCCCTATTTAGGTATGACTTTGTATATGTTTTGTTACATGAATATCTGAACATACAAAACATCAAAAGAACAGGGTATCTGCTTGTAAACAAAAACATTTTATTCTAGCTTCATGCATTCTTTTTTTAAACACTTGAATGTGGATAAGTTCACAAAAAATGTGGACATTTTGAACAAAAAGCTGAAAAAAGACTATGAATTGGATTCAGAATGATAATCAAAACGTAGATAAAGTCGATCAACACCCCAAAGCTTGACAGTTATTATTACCTCTTCATTGGTCGACATTTTATTCCATAATGTTACATAGTTTTGATACTGTTTTATGTCTGATGATCGTGTTAGAATACATGTGGAAGCATCTGTTGTTTCGGTTTCTTCTTCACTTGTGTTTTTTGGAAATTCTGTACAGAAGATGTGTACTAGCGCCCCCTACAGTATAACAATGAAAACACGGATTCTAGGAGCACAATTATAGCTAAAATATATTTAGACTTTTTCTAAGTATAAGTCAAGTATACTTAAATGTCATTTTAAGTATATTTCTGAGAAGTACATAAAGCCCATTTCTGAGAAGTACATAAAAAGTAGACTAAAAGTATACTTTCCTATTTTTAGTTTAAAAGAAGTATACTAATAGCACACTTGAATAAACTTCTTTTTCGTAAGGGTATTTAAGATTCTGTTTCAAGATTAAAAGTCTAAAGGTACATTTACATGACAACAAAAGACTGAAAGACTGAAAAGTTTTTCCCTTGCATTTTTAAAAAGTTTCGGGTACAGACAACGTTGTCAAAATGATCCCTGTTCACACGGATCAGTGAAAAAAGACTAAAAACACTGTATTATGTATGCCAGGCCTGCATGCACATAATGTCACTGTTTTCACAAATTTGTGTTTCCGTAGTTTACACAGAGACGATAATAGTATTGTTTTCAAAAACTTGCACTTTGAAACCCGTTTTCAAAAGTTTACTTTTTTCAAGCCCCCAAAATGCTAATGTCTTGTAAATGAACAGCCAAAACACATAAAAAAGCTTCTTGTAAATCTAGTGCAGCCTGTAGTGACAATTGGAGCCACGCTGACTACAGATTGGCATTCAGGTGGCACTTCAAGGTAGGTAGGGACTAAGGAGACTCTCTTAGCATCCTAGCTTAAAAGGCCAAAGGTTTTTCTAGGGATGAATTTGTTATGTGGTAAAAAACAAAAATAAAATGCACTAAAATATTAAACTGACAGCCCTAAAAATAACGCAAATGGAAGTACAGGAATTTATATTGAGCAAAAAAATTATAAATATCCTATAATTTAGCTTCTGCAAGCCATCCATTTTCTAGATTTACTGCTCTGCATACTTATTTTCTCAAACAAATTCATGAAGTGCCACTTTGAATGCCATTTTAACTGTCTTGAAGGAGTTTCCAAGTACGCTATACATATCTTGGCTATTTTCCCTTCACAAACGGCTGTATTTATTGATTTATTTTATTTTTTAATTCAATTAAAATGTCAGTTTTGTAAAGATATTCATGCAAAGGCATAATTTATTGACCTTTTCAAATCGTCTTTTGGATTATGAGAAACATACATTCAATCAACTGTGTCCAAATGTGTAACACAGTATTTTGACAGTAATACCATGGTATGCCACAGTACATTTTTGTAAGTGAAATGAACATTACGCTTACCTTTATTCTCTCTATGTTAGCTTCTACCCGTAGCTGTTGAACAGTCCTTCTGGCCTGGGCTATATTATTAGAGCTTTGCATCTTAGACGACATCTTCGATTATCTTCACAGACCTGGATTGAAAAGAAATGAAAAGTTGATATTGACATGCACTTTGCTTCGTTTACTATGAGCAGCCAGCAGAAGATCAAAGTTACACATCATTCAAGTCCTGTGATTCATGAACTACATATGTGACCCTGGACCACAAAACCAGTCTTAAGTCGCTGGGGTATATTTGTAGCAATAGCCAAAAATACATTGTATGGGTCAAAATTATAGATTTTACTTTTATGCCAAAAATCATTAGGATATAAGTAAAGATCATGTTCCATGAAGATATTTTGTAAATCTTCTACTGTAAATATATTAAAACTTAATTTTTTATTAGTAATATGCATTGCTAAGAACTTAATTTGGACAACTTTAAAGGCGATTTTCTCAATATTTCGATTTTTTTGCACCCTCAGATTCCAGATTTCCAAATAGTTGTATCTCAACCAAATATTGTCCTATCCTAACAACATACATCAATGGAAAGCTTATTTATTCAGCTTTCAGGTGATGTATAAATCTCAATTTCGAAAAATTTACCCTTATGACTGGTTTTGTGGTCCAGGGTCACATATAACAGAATTTTCTTACAAAGCGTGCAAGACAGGAAATTTGTCTGTATGTTAACACACATAGTGAGATAGCAAAAGCTCTCTGAGGAGGTGCACAGGGCCACTTTGACTCCTGCAGAGGTTGGGGGTGTTTAGTGCGTCAGGCCCCCAGTGAGGGGCTTTTCACTTGGTCTGCTTTATGACTGCAGGAGGGAGAACTAAAGCAAGCTGTGTGTGTTTGAACAGAAGATCACATGCTGCCAGCAGTTCAGAGCAGTCTTTCCGTAAACCATCGTCACCGGTTACTCTGCCAACTCATCTCATACACAATGAGCACATGTGCACAAGTGCAGAGAGACAGAGCCGGCAGTGCAGACTCAAGCAAGAGAAAAAAAGGAAATGGTGGAGTCAAATGGGTGGTCTCTCATCGACCACGAGATAAAAAGAGGGCGGTTAGCCTTCTAACTTCCTAACTTTACTGAGAATGAAATAAAGCAACATTGATACCTGCAAGGTTGATACTGAAATACAAAAATGTCAGTAGTAGATACCAAAACCAGTCAAATAGCACAGCAAAATTAATATGCTAATGAACACTTCATTTGTTTTAAATAAAGAAAAGAAATACAAATATAAATTAAATTATAACATTAATAATATAAATATAAAATATAGAATTAAACATATTTAAAGTAATAAATAGAAATAAATATTAATAGAAATAAAAATATACATACTTAAATTAAAACAAGTAGACTCAAGTCACATTTATTTATATTGTGCTTTATACAATTCAGATTGTTTCACAGAAATAAACAGGAAGATAGCAGTGTTGTAAAATGTCAACAAATATAAAATGGCATCAATTTCAACTAAAACAGCTCTACTGAAGACAATTGTCATTATTGAGGTCAAGTCATTTCAATGTTTATTCGGTTCAGTTCAATAGCAGTGTCGATGTTACAAAGTTCATAAATTATGACACAAATTCTGTCCAGCTATAAATAGCAAGCAGCTCTAAAGAAGACAATAGTGTCATTATTCAGATCAAATGAGTTCAACGTTTTGTTAAATAACTGTCAATGTTGCAAAAGTTCCTTAATGAATAATGAAACATCTTCAAAGGCGGCACTATCGGGAGGAAAAAACAATCATTATCCAAGTCAGTACTAAAGAACATAAGAGCAGTGCATAGTTTTCTCTTTTTATTGTTAATATAATTGTTTCATTGATATTAATGAAACAATGGACAGTAACAGGTCTTTTAGTAACCCAACAGATGCGTGATTATTATGGAAGCAGTTTTATTTTTTGCTGTTCGTGTCTGATGTAGACAAGGTGCAAGTATCAGTTCTGACAACATGGGAAATGTTTAACAGAGTGGCTTCCATATTGCTACACGGTCAGCCGCATAATCTCTAGCACAACAAACCCTTATATCCTACTTCCTGAGAAGCCCAGACATAGCTTTATCAAGAATTCAGAGGAAGAGTGTATGGCTGTCTCCTGTTCCACTGGCACAGGGCTGGTATCTCTACACGGAGCTCGGTGTTGGGGGGCTGACCTTATCTGGTTGCACACCAGACATACTTAGAAGGGGTTAAGAGGTTTGGATAACAACTTGTTATTAATGCAGTGACAAAATTAGTGTGAGGTCACAGACCCAGAGGTCAAGGGGCCATCCATACAGTACATTACGGTCCAGAGAACACACTGCTTAGCTGCAGCTTAACAAGGACAAAACATGACGCCTCTGATGACAGCAGCTTACTAACGATCACACCTTCTGGACAATAAAGCATCCCAGGTTGCTAATTTTAGTTTAATCAAGAATTGATCAAATCAACACAGGTTAAACTGTTGGCATCCATGTCTTTTGTTTAAAGGCACAAAATGGTTAAATTGATTAACAACGCATGTGTTTACATTGCAGTTATAATTGAGTACATTTTGTGTGTCATATCGAGGTCAACAACACAAAATTGTAATCGAAGGAATCAAAATTGAAAAATTAAATACGCAATGCTGATAACTGTGATTAGCATTTTAGTCGCAGTTAAATATATTTTATTTTGTTTTCGATTAGCCGGTATTTATTTATTTGTTTAATCATTTTGTATTAATATTTTTATCTGAAATTTGAGATTTATATAAAAACTACTTTTCAATAATATTAAAATATGTTTTATTATTTTTAAATTTTATATATCTTTTTTATTATTATTTTATTATTGCTCTATGTTAGTATGTTTTCTTATATAGAAAAACTGAGGGGAAAAAACCAGCAAGACAAGCAAACCACATTGTTTTCCTTTGGTTTTGACATCAAAACACAAATAGATATGCACATGTTGGGGAAACAATTGTCAGAACCAATGCTATTTTAATATCATTGATTACTGTTTTAGCTCTTATTAGCTCTTAATATTTTGAATTCGTTTTTATTATCATATTTTTCATTTCCATTTTCATTTTAATTAAAGTTTTAGTAATGTTGTTGTTTTGTGATTTGTATTAGTTTTTGTTTTTATTTTTTAGCTATTTTTTAAACATTTTAAATTGAGTTCTTATTAATTTTTTTCAGTTTTAGTTATTTTACTAATCAAGTTCAACTGAAAGAAAATGAAAAAATATGTTTTGGCAAAGATAAAATAAAATACGTTTATTTTATAGGTTCTTTTGTTTAAGTATAAAGTTATTTTATTTCATGTAACTAAAATGGTTTTAATTTTAGTTTTAGTTAATGATAACCTGGCCAGAACTGTAAAAGGCACTCTGTCGATATGTATAATTTACTTTTTTTAATGTCATGAAAGAGTCTGATTAAATCTGAAATCGTACCAGTCTGAGTTTAGCAAATGTGAAACTCAGACAATGTCATTTGTCCAAGGACAGATTGTGTTCAGTCGATCTCAGTCAAGGTTGAGTAAGAATGCAGCTCTGTTAAAGGGCACAGTGTTCCTGTGAGGTAATGCTTCATTCGCTCAGCGTGGCTTCTGAGGGACAACGAGTCAATTTTCTGCAGACGCAGCACAGAGAGCAGAACTGTGACGCAGACAGACACGGCTCAACAAATGTGCCAATCAAACTCTGCTCACTACTCACTCACTTGTGACCTCTGACCCCTCAGCTCGATTGTTGTCCTCGTCAACTCACACCAGGCAAGCAGAGGTTCACGAGTAGAGACAGACTCAAGATGACAGTATGATTAACCGCCAAAACCAACACCCAGCGAGCCTTCCAAGAGCCCACATCCGTTTCATTAACCCACTCCCTCTTCTTCCTGCTGTATAAATGATTAAAGATGTGTATGAATGTATAAATAGCAAAAGAACAGGAAGAGGGGGAGTCTGTTAGCCTCGACTCGCTAATAAATGCTTATCCGGACCCACGGGATTTCATTCATCCCTCTCACGTTCATCCTGATAAAACCCTTCATTTGCTCTAGAATTTGTCCTTTCTGTGCTGGGAAGTCGATGTGTGATGTTTCCACTACTAAAGTGCTCTTATATGCCCTCTGCTGTCTACACAACACTGACTTTGACCCATCCAGCAGGCTAACCGCTGGCTTGAATGTAGAATGGACACAGGATGCCGGCCAGTACAGCTGGCCGTTGAGGAGAGAGGACACTCAAGGTGCACTGAACTGTGCTGACTGTAATTACAGCTTTAGAGAGAGAGACCCAACAGTCAAGCACACTCCAAAAGCTCAGGCTGACGCCGCAGCATTCAGCCTTTTGTTACATCTCTCTCACCTCTGCCCTCGCTGTGACCCTGCCCCCAAAAAATGCTTCAAGAGTGAAGGCCTGTTCACACTTAAAAATGTTTGGCATGAAAATTCGGATTTTCACATGCAAACTGTCTATTCAGGCCAATGCGAAATATACGGTAGCTGAAAGAAAACACAAATTCACTGCAGCTTTCTGTTTCTGATGTCCAACGGTATTTACATGTTTTCAAACAACTGTTCAGATTTTTTCACTCTGGTGTTTATCAGAAAACACCAAATACACTGGCACTTGACCATAAGTGCAAAAATCTTATTGGTTGGCCAGTTTTCTTTGCTACACGATTAATCAAATAATACTGAAAAAATCATGATATGGATTCGTTTGATTATATTTGCACAACTTTATTTGTGCGATTTGTGCGAAAGGCTGCAATTTAATTAAATAAATATATGTGCTGTGTGTTTCAGCGTGAAGCGTAGCACCATGTTCTTACACAAGCAGCTATTTATTCACAGATGAGTTTGTGGCACTTTAACTTGCATTTGGGAACGCAACATCAGCCAACCATCTTCCAATACTTGTAATGAGAAGCACTTATTATCAACAAAAAAGAAGCGCTAGGGGCTCCCTGCATTTTTTAGTTAGCATTATTATTATTGCCATATTAATACTGTATATAGTCACAACATTTTCACCAAATTGTGCAGCCCTACAAACAGGCACAGCAAACCTGAATTT